AGCCATACCCGATGACATTTCTCCTTCTTATCTCATGTTTCCCCGGAAATCCCAAGGAAATCCTGCCGGGCTCTTTTCCTCCCTTGAACGCGGAAGCGATTTACCCGCCGCGGGATTTTCCTACGCACCGAGATAGGTGCATACCAGGTATTCCGCGGAATCGCGAGACTTCACGGATGCATCCGCGCGTTATGACAATGCCACGGCCGCGGTTGCAGCTGATGCGAGCTTGTAATGTGCATCGGGCGGCCTCTTCAAAGTGCGCGGAAAGACTCGTAAATCCGCGGAGTCGAACCGTAAAACGTGCCGCGGGGCATGGGGTTCGGGAGGGGCGCGTTTTCCGCGGCGTTTTTCCCCGGAGCCGAGGGGTCCCGTTCGCTTGCCTCGTGGGAAGTACTCCATTTTTTTTTTTTTCACCGACTCGTCTCGTGGCTGCGTCTTTGGTCTTGGTTTCTGATTTCTTCTCCTTCTTTCTTTTTTATTATTTTTTTTTTTCCGTTGCTTCCGTTATCGCCCTAAAAAGTGCAGCCCCGATTCCCGGCGAATCGCGCCGACTCGTCAGGTGCGAGGCGAGGGACAGGGATTCCGTCGGGGCTTCGGAACCTTGAAAATATATACCTAGGGCATATGCTCGACGAGGGATTCGGAGTCGCGTATCGATGGTCGAAGCCCTCGAAGCGAAATTCCCGGCGAGGAGCGATCGAGTATCGAGTAACGTTAGAAGACGGCTTAACCGGGACGCAACTCGACTCTCGGGGTGACTCCAGACTCCGGGGGGAAACGATCCCCCTGGGGTTCCAGGAGGTTCCGTTGGGGTTCCCCGGGGAGGCAGGAAGGCCCGGGAATTTTTCCCCACGCTCGTTACGAAGCCTGTGAATTCTTTACCTTTCCACTTTTTGGATTTCTTTTTGTCTTTTCTCGAAGGAGAGATACTCTTTCTCTTGTTCATACCGACCGGCCATCTTTATCCAGCATCTCGCCTCGGCTTCTCACGGAGGTAACGGAGGCGACTCGCCGGTAACCCGAAGAGACTTCGGAGAAAGACGGCTTCCGGTCCGGTGATAAACGTCGGTTGCGAGAGCCGCGAGAGCAGATAAACGCGCGTGGGTATTGTCGGGAGAGGTGGAGGCCCCTCGAAAATAGACACCGTGGAGGGGCCGCGATTTCATTCGAGGAAGACACCCGAGGACCTCGCCACGGAGGCGCGATTCGCGTTAAACGAGTAATCCTTGGAAAATTGAAATTCAACGGGGGCACCGGGGGAGATCGGCGGAAAAATGGAGAGGATTCGAGCAGGGCGCTCGGGAGATATCTCGTCGAGTCGGCGGGACGATTGTTTGACGGGGGCTCCTTGGGGGAATGGAAATTAATGGAAAGCCCGGGGAAAAGCGTCGGGAGATCGCGCTGAAATGGCCGTACGATTGTTTGCTTTGTAAGGGGCTCCCGAGGAAAGCGGAGACTCGCGGGAAGAAAGCCGAGGATTATGGGAAATGCGCGGAGGCGGACGGGCGCTGCCCGAATAGAAAGGGAAGATCCTATTTGGACGGGATTAAAATTAAAGGCCCTGTCCTGGAGGGGGACGATTTTTCGAAATTCAGACTCCTGGGGGACGGTGGAGGCGCGACCTCCTCGCCGTTACGGACTTTATTCCCGCCCACGTGGCGGATTTTCGCGGCCGCAGCTGCCCGTTCGCCCGGGCTTTATTAACCTTCCCCCGGGAAGCCCGACGCCGTGTAAACTTGGCACGAATTCTACGATTTCGCGCGCGATTCGCCACTCGCGGGCGTGTATTTCTGGAGGCGAGGAAGGGCGCCTTCGACGAGGCGAGAGATTCTCAGCCGAGGAGGACGACCCTCGACCGGAGTCCTGCTCTCGAGGTCCTGTAACCGCGGAAAGGAACACCTGGCTGTTTCTCTCGTGTCTCCTTGATTCTCTATTCCCGAGCCGAGTACCTTTTTCAATTACATTCACCGGAGAAAATAGCCGAGAGGATATATCGGCCCGTCGAGCCGGCCGGAGTAACGAGACTTTCCTTCGGCACAGACGCGGAAACAATGGCCGGGGCCGTTCTTTCTTTCTTTTCCGACGTTTCCGAGGTCGTACCTGAGCGGCCTCTCGTCACTTTCTACAACGTCCGACCGGCCGCTTCCTTATGCGGGAATTATTCCCGAAATTATTCCCGAATCCTGCATTTTTTTATTTCCTCTTCCCCCTACTCTCCGCATTCCCCTACGGCTATCGGCTGACGCGATAAGTCTGTCGACCTCCGAGGCTTTGAATTCCCTTTATGGAGGGTTGGATTGCGTTAAACCTTCTCAAATCGCTCCTTAATGCCGTAAGCCGACTCCGGTCCTGTATTAGGTGACTGTCATTTAACGCGTCACTGCCACGTGGCACCACGTGTCACCTTCGCGAAACGCGCCCCAGAGTTACCGAGAGGCATTTCTCAATGACTCGGCGAGAGCCATTCACGGGGCAACGTTCATATTCATTCCCTGTAATTATTTCCCCCGTGTATGTATACACGCACCTAGGCGTGTACACCGCGAAGACACGTTTAACTCGGACCGCCGATCGATAGCGGGAATCGTTAACGTTCCCCCTTTCTCTAGATGCCTCTTGCGTAGATCATTGATCCTTTCGCGGGTCAGGCGCAATGCATATGCTAATCGCGCCCACCTACTTCTTTCCTATTTCTTCTCTCTACTCGGATAAAGGTGCGCACACGCGTGTCTACGCGATATGCTGACTGCGTATCCTCGTTGCGGCATTGTCCGGAATTACTTTCTCCGCTTGCGTTGCGACAACGCGTTACGAGACTATTGAGAGGCAGATGGACTGAGGTCGGGGAAGTTTTGGGCATTTTGGAGGTCGGCGAAGTTTTAGGTATTTTGGAGGTCGGCGAAATTTTAGGTACATTTTCGAGGTCGGCGAAATTTTAGCTACACTTTCGAGGTCGGCGAAGTTTTAGCTACACTTTCGAGGTCGGCGAAGTTTTAGATACACTTTCGAGGTCGGCGAAGTTTTAGGTACATTTTCGAGGTCGGCGATGTTTTAGGTACACTTTCGAGGTCGGCGAAGTTTTAAGTACACTTTCGAGGTCGGCGAAGTTTTAGGTACACTTTCGTCGGCGAAGTTTTAGGTACATTTTCGAGGTCGACGAAGTTTTAGCTACACTTTCGAGGTCGGCGAAGTTTTAGGTACATTTTCGAGGTCGGCGAAATTTTAGCTACCTCGGTGATTAGCGAAATTTGGGTCCTTGGAAGCTGGTCAGATTTTGGAGATCGGAGAAGTTTCCATCGCTTCAGGGGTAGGGGAGGTCGAAAATGACGGTGGGTGCCTTGAAATAAAACGTGGACGCTCTTTTCTGGGACACGCTAGCCAAGCTCGAGCTCGCGTGTATCTGGAAACGTATCTGGGATGAACTCGACCGGTCGATAGGTCGACGGATTCGGGTCGAATAGGCGCGCGAATCGCTGAAGGCGAACGCCGACCTCGTTCGCGTGCACGTTCCGGTGCAGGGCATACATGCACCGGAGAAGGGATGCGCCCCGTTAATATTTAATAGAATTTTTATTCGAGGTCTGAATAGGCGGTCATCTGGAAATAGCATTTTTATCTCGAAGAGGGTTCACGTGGTTCCACGTGGTTCCACGTTTCCGGATAAGGTATGCCGGGTGCAGTCGAGAGGTGGCGCCGCATCTCCTCCCAGCATCCAGGGTGACACCTGTTGAATGCACTCCGGCTCGATAAGCTCCCATCGAGTGCCCCCTACCTCGTCGGAGGATTATCACTTCTGCATCCCCGATATGTATCGCCGGAATACATATCCCGTACATCCGAGGGTATCCGAGAGCTCGATCAATGGGAGCTCGAAATCCCGGTACCAGGAATCCTCCCCCGGGTGAGGGAGAGAGAGAGGAACGGACCTTTCAACCGTCCCGGCGAAACCGCGTCGCGGAACGGAACGACGTTTATCCGCTATGCCGACCGTAACGTCTGGGCCCCGTTCTCCACCTTCGATCTCGAGTCGAGGGACTCGGTTCGCTTTGTCCTGGATTCGTTCCGAGTCGAGTCCACGTCCGTGGCTGCCTGTCGGCCCGAAAAATCCTCAGGCTAACGGAACGGGCCCTGAGTCTCTTCCCCAAAGCGGCTCCAGCTGCTCCGAGTCGAGACGCTCGAATGCGAGATTTTCTATTGAAACGCGTATATATGTATATCGAGTGAAAAGCGGGGAAATGGAAAAAAAATTGTACGTGGGAAGATGCGGTTTTCTTGGATCTAGCGAAGGACTCTTGGCGGGACCGGGAAATCTAGAGGGTCCTGCGGCCGATTCCGCTCGCGGTCCTGGCTACTCCGACGCTCGAAAATGGTACTTTCGATGAAAACTTTTATATGTATATAAAAATTGAAAAGCGGGGAAGTGGAAAAAAAATTGTACGCGGGAAGATGCGGTTTCCCTGGATCTAGCGAAGGACTCTTGGCGTAACCGGGAAATCTAGAGGGTCCTGCGGCCGATTCCGCTCGCGGTCCTGGCTACTCCGACGCTCGAATATGGGACTTTCAATGAAAACTTTTATATGTATATAAAAATTGAAAATCGGGGAAATGGAAAAAAAAATTGTACGCGGGAAGATGCGGTTTCCCTGGATCTAGCGGAGGACTCTTGGCGGGACCGGGAAATCTAGAGGGTCCTGCGGCCGATTCCGCAAAGCGGTCCTGGCTACTCTGACGCTCGAATATGGAACTTTCGATGAAAACTTTTATATGTATATAAAAATTGAAAATCGGGAAAATGGAAAAAAAATTGTACGCGGGAAGATGCGGTTTCCTTGGATCTAGCGAAGGACTCTTGGCGGGACCGGGAAATCTAGAGGGTCCTGCGGCCGATTCCGCAAAGCGGTTCGACTCGATCTTTCGGTTCATAGGATCGTTTACCTCGCGGTCTACGTATAGCGGTTGCGAACGGTTAATGACTCCTCGTTATTGCCCTGTTGCAGCTCGATGACACGGCACTTCAGCTCTATAAGGATGGCGATTACGGGGCGTACCTGGACCTCGAGGCGTCCATCAGCGAGCAGCAGGAGGAGTTCGAGGGGTTCCAGACCAAGTGAGTTTCAAATGGCCTCGAAAATTAAGCGAAGGGTTTATTAACACCTCGATTCGATCACGGCGAGTCTGGGACGCGTATTTTTGCCCCGCGATTTTAAATAGGTATCGCCGGTTTTTCTATTTCCTTTGTTTTTTTTTTCCTCTTCGTTCCTTTTTCTCCCCCGGGTCGGTCACTCGGGTTTATTTTTTCCCGCGGCTCTGGCGAAACGCCTGGACGATTTTACCCGCGGCCTTCGGGCTTTTCCACGGACCTAGGATCGATCGGGTCGGTCTCACCCCGCGGGGCATTTCCGTCCGCGGATTTATTGGCCGCAGGTTGCCGCGACGAGTACGCCGCCCTCTCTTTCTCCCTCTCTCTGTCACCGGGCCGGGTTATTAAATCCTAGTCGAGGGGCAGGTGAATTTTCGGCTTCCCGGGAACCGGGAGTGTAGGTGACGTTAAATTTAGACGACCCTCTTCCCGAGCCCCAGCCTCTCTCGCACTCGAATCGCTTATTTCATTTCTATCCGGCCGGTCCCATATCTCGCCGTGCACCGAAAGGTTCATCTCGTAGATTGTTTCTTACCGGTCTCTCTCGTTGCCTCTTTCCGCCCCCGATTCCGCGGCCCGGAGGGCGCGAAATTCCGCGCACGTCATCGCCGAGTCGCGATTTGCATGCCGCGGAGTCGGGCTTGCACTCGATACGTGCATCTGCACATGCAGATGCACGTGCCGATGCATCCCCTCGGGTCTCGGGTGAGTTGTCGCCCCCACTACGCGAATCGATAATATAAATAATAATATAAAAATCAATCAACGTAAATACCTTCTCGGAGGATCACTAGCTCGATCGACGGAAATTCTATCATAATGCCCTCCACGGATTTCGATAAATATTAACCTCCACCCCGGAGGATCCGCTTTAATCCGCGTTAATCCACTCTCCCTCTTGCCCCTCGTTTCGCTCGATCGCGTTTAATCCGACGCCCGTGTAAGCGGATGCGATTACCGCTGGACCAAGAGCGGAGGATAAACTTCCGCTCTTTCCCGAAGCCGCTCCGCCTTTCCCGGATCTCGACTCCGAGATCTCAAAGTGCAGAGAGAGACGATCGATTGATTTATCAATTTTCTCCTCTGTGTGTGTGTTTTTTTTTTATTATGAAATTTTCTGACGCGAGTAACGATCGGAAATCGAAAGGCCCGGATCTTCGTGCCGGTCCCCTCTGGCGGGAACAATGCCGGCGATCGCGCCGATATCGGACCGATACTCCAGCCGATACTCGCCTATCGGCCGCCCTATCGAGACGCCGATCCGCTCGTTAAGACCGCTTCCCGTCCACTTAGCTCCGATCCACCTTCCGTGGACACCGTGAGACAGATCCGAGATCGCGCGCGGAATGGGCCCTACCGATCCGCAGGGCCCGACCGCGTCATGGCGTCACGACGCCTCCGGGCCTGCCCGTCGAGGCGCTCTTTCAGCGCGCCCCGGAACCGCGTCACGTGTTCGCCGGAGACCGACATCCCTTTCTTTCTCAGGGTGATATCGAGGGAATCTGGGCAGGATGTTTGATTTTTTTTCCTCTATCGTGAAAAAAAAATATATATATACGTAAAAGAAGAATCGACCTCTAAGAATCCGGAAATTCTTCGAGGACCAAGTTCCTTAAAATCCTGAATTTCTGCAATTCCTCAGAAAATCGAAGGACTCGTGTAGGGTGAGAAATCGAGAAATCTGCATTCCTGGGTGCGCTGTAAAAAATGCTTCGCCTGGTCTTGTAGGGTGATTAGTACGTAAGGTGCGAAGATGCGTTTCCGGCTCTCGGGCGGTCGTTCGCACCGGAAGCTGAGGGCTTTAATTCGGACGCGGTGGTAGGGAGGGACTCGACTTCGGAGGACGTACGTCGGGATCAAGGGATTCGATCCCGTTAAACCCGACGTGGCGGGGACCGGGTTCCCGTCACCTGTTCTCCCCCGTTTTCGGGCCCGGACCGGGTAGCGAGGCCAGATCCGAAAGCGGAAATGAAATGGAAGGAGGGGGAGGAAGGAAAGGAAAAAGAGAAGAAAAAGAGCCGCGCGCTCGATTCTCGAATCGGGAAGGAGCAGGGAGAGGTCCGAGAATAGGAAATGCCTCGACCCGTGGAAAGTGGGGTAAAACGTGCCGCTCGTGCGCCGCTCTTTCCGCGTTTCCTGTGCCGCACCGTCGAGGCCGCGCCGCGGAAAAGGGCGCAGGAAGTCCCGCGGAGGGGCGAGGAAAAATCCGGCAAAAAAAAAGAAAAAAACAGGTGGGGAAAGAACAAAAAAAAAAAAGAAAAGGAAATAGAACCCGGTCGCGCTTCCGCCTGTCGGCCTGAGGTCGGGCCCGGCGCGACCTCGGGAGAGACCACCTCGGCTCGGAATAAATCGCATAACTGGGTTTCGCGATCTATTCCCAGGGCATCGCCTGGGAGTCTGGGTGCCGGAGATCCGTCGCTTTATAAATATCCTTCGCGTCCGAGTTTCCGACCCGGCGTTTAGTTACCGCGCGCTGTCGCCGCGACGCCCCCCCCTTCTCCTCCACCGCCTTCGCCTAGGGTGCATGTAAGCGTAATCTATCGTCGCTATTGTCGCTGGAAGGAAAGGAACCGAAGAAGAGCCAACGAGACCGGCCTCGGGAATCGTGCCAGCCGGGGACGACGCCGGACGTCGCCGATCGAGATGAGATTTTTCGATCTCCTCTTAGTATACCAGTCCACTCGAAATCTCATTTTTCCCCATTTCTGGCGCCTATCGGAGGTACAGGGGCACCTGGAACATCGCCAGGGATCGGGATATGGGGCTCAATCGAAGATATAGGAATCTTGGGGTGAAATGTGGATTTTTATTATTTAACAAAATTTTTTTTTTAATTTTGGGAGGGACCAGAATCTCCTCTTAGCATACCACTCCACTCGAAATCTCATTTTTCCCCATTTCTGGCGCCTATCGGAGGTACAGGGGCACCTGGAACGTCGCCAGGGGTCGGGATATGGGGCTCGATCGAAGATATAGGAATCTTGGCCCTGAGAATGGGGTGAATTGTGGATTTTCATTGTTTCAGAGAAAATGTCCTTTTACACCTGGGAGACCAGGTTCCCTCGTTACTGGACTCGTCCCGGCATCCTGGGGCTCGGGCGTAGGGAAGGTCAGGGTTTCCCCGGGTCCGGCGGCCCTGGGACGTCCACCTTCGGGAGACGTCCCGAGCCAGAGGGTAGAGGACTCGGACCTCGGGATTCCTCGGCGAACGATCGGTGGTATAAGTCACGAGTCCCTGGACTGGTCGGTATAAACTTTACGAGGCGAGCCTAGGCAAAGCCCGGCAATTCCACCTGGCAATAAAAGGAGCATTAAAGCCCCCTTGAAATGTCGCCCGGGCGCGAATGTGCATAAACGTCCGGCCGCTCCTCGGCGGCTTCCTTTTCCCGTTTCGCCACCCCATCGTATCGGGCCGATTCCATGGGGTTTTATATCGCGACCGACCGAGCTCCGCGTTTATCTCGCCTCCCTATCCGTTCGACTGGTCGGGATGATTTAAAATCGGCGTTTCATCTCGCGTCCCGAGGGGTTGTTCCCTCAGGAAATCCTGGATCTTAATGCTGGATGTCGCCTGGAAGTCTCAAACAGAAATCCCTGGAAATCGCTTGAAATCATCGGATTGTTAGAATTTTAAGGTCGAACGTCATTTATTACCGAATCTCATTGTTATTAATCGTATGAAATCCAAGGCAATCGGTTCTTAAAGTAGGAAATCGTTTTCACCGACTCTTCGGTGAATAGCCTATCCTCGAGGATCGGCGCGATTCCGCGACCTGGGGGGCAACCGATCTGCCGGTTACGCGGATTGACGGGCACGCTTCGCGGGGGGCCAACGAGGGGGAAGGTTCCTTTTACCCCGGAGGATCGCAACGAGGAGAAGCGTCTCCGCCGGCCATCGGAGCGGATGTCTCTCGCTCTTTGGGAGACATCCGGGGTCCGGTTGACGCGGAATTTCACCGCGAGATCACGCCGGGAAGACGGAAAAGCGAGGTGGGAGGGGGATCGACGAGCGAGGGGGAGGATCGCGGATCAGGATCGGTAGATCCGGGCCGAGGGCGATGCAGCCTCCCAGGTACGAAGGACGGAGGATGTACAGGTGCAACGTGGAGATCTGCAAGTTTCGAATAACCGGTTTCGGCCGCACCGCCGGTACCGGATAGGCACCGTGCGGTATACTTAGCGGAGGATGCTGCGGAATCCTCGAGCGGAGTCGCGGCTAGGATCTTCGACGGGATCCAGGGCGCGACCGAGGAGGCGGCATTATTATTACGCCGATGGAGCGTTCGGGAAAATTTCCGTCTCGGGACCGACGCGGGAAGGACCCTCTCCTGAACTCCTGGCGATTAATCCCGCCGCTTTCATCCCCGCACCCGTGGAACCGGCGGCCGTATATTCTCCGGGGCGTCCTCCGGGGAAATCATGGGGCCGCGGCTAAACCGCGCCGTTTTAACTTTCGACGGCGATGGTCCTCGCACGTCCCCGGGATACCCGAGTGGGCCCGAGCCTGGACCCGGTCGTCCTTTTCGCGGGGGCCCCAAGGATCCGATCGATCGGTGGTAGAGCTACCGGGGAAAAAAATCCTGGAGGCTCCTCCTGCCTCGGGAGCGTCGTTTATCCCCTCCGACGGGGGGACCTTGCCTCCTGACCCTGGGGGCTTGGCGTGGAATGGAACACGGGCCAGGATTCCGGGAACGCGAACCAACGAGGCGTCTTCATTAGCCTTTCATGAACGGCAGCCGGCCACCTCGCCCCCGCTGCGGCCGGGTCTCGTATCGGGCTTGCATACGAGCCCTTGGTTCGCGCCTCTTGCGAATGCCAAGGAAAAACGGCGCCGAGGAAAATCGATCTCGATCTTGGTCTTGATCCTGAATTTGCGAGGAGTGCAAGACGGAACCGCGCAAGGACGAGATCGATTCCACCGGGAGCTGATGGCAGGGTCCTCGAGGCGGGCCTATAACGGTCCGCCC